GACTCCAAAAAGCGGGCAGATTTGTTGTGGCTTCTGATGCTTTGAACTGATAGGTTTCTACCGGGGCTCCAGAAGGGTTCCTCGAAGGACCCGTCCTTTTAAGAGTCCCTTTAAAGGTTCCGAAAAGGGTTCCTTGAAAGATTACCAAGTTTAAGTCTTTCGCTTTAGGGTTTAGGGTTCAGGATATAGGGTATGAAGTCGACGAACCCTGAGCCCCAAACTCTGAACGCCTTATCCAACTGAACATCACGCGCAACCATCGCTGAACCCTGAACCCCAAAACACTGAACTCGAAACCCCGGGCCCTAAAACCTAGAGATTTTAGACCCTGGGCCCTTATGAAAACAGCTCCTGTGGCAATCCGTAAGTTAGCGGACCCTTTTAAGTACCCAAGCCGGTAAAGGAAGTCTGCAAGGGACCCTGACAGGAACCCGGAAGGATCCCGTCAAGAAGCCTTTGCACTTAGTTGAGCAATGAAGGCGACCCTCAAATAGACCCTTTAATCGATGCCTTAAATGCAACCCTTATAGGAAACCACAAAGAAAGGACCCCGTAATGGAATCCTTAAAGGCACCTTTAAAGCTCAAAAGAACCCTTAAAGGAACCCTTAAAGGAACCCTTACATCTCAGCAGAGATGCGGCTTGCCGCCGCTGCAGCCACTCAGATCGAAGCCAACGAAGTCCAACGCATGGGCCGTATGAAGCCCAAGATTTCAGGGTTTAGGATTTTAGAAGGCTTTGGGAGGTTTAGGGCTACGGGGGTTTGCGGCTTAGGAGGTTTCAGAGCTTTAGGCAAGATTCTGGTGCTTTCTGCTGCTAGCAATGGCAGCAGTCGTTGTGGTGGTGGGTCGTAGAACTATAATAATTGGTGGTAATAGAAGAATTGGTGGTAATGTGGTATAGGTAGCATCCTGCTATGACTAACTAGACCAGGACTTTTTGTATGCGTTCGAGCGTGAGTCAAGTAGCCTAAGCCCTAAAACACGAACAGTTTTTGTAACAGCCCCCCTCTCACCTGTTAAATATCCAGGCTCTTTGAGCCTGAAGGGACGACAGCCGGCAAAAGTCACAAACAAACAGTGAGCTCAGGGTCAGGGATCTATAGGATCCTTATAAGAAGAGGGGGCTCCAAGGGGGTAGATAACCTACTGATCTCTAGTGCTCTCTAGTGCTCTAAGGAAGGGTCCGGGATGACAGAGCTGAGGGCTTCGTGTAATAAGGCCTTAAGGAGTCGGGTCTGCGTTATGGGTGGGGTTTAGGTTTTAGGGCTCAGCGCTTAGGGGTTTAGGGGTTTAGGGTTTAGGGAGTATGGTTTAGGATGGAGGTGGTGTTTCGAGTTCCTGAAACTGATCAGTCAGCAGGCAACAGTTTCGAATGTAGGACTGGCTGCCACCTGTAATCGGCTCTCCCAGCAAACAGTCTAAAGCCGGACTAACCGAAACTCGAAGCAAAATCCGAGAGCCACAAAGGCAAGCACGAAACTAATCGTAACTATCGCCAGCTGTAGACTTACCCCTTGAAAGTCTCGTCACCCCGAAGCCCTAAGCCCTAAACCGTCTCACCTTAGGAACGGATGAACGTAAGCTGGGCTCCTTGGATTTGCCGGTGTGTGCATGTGCGGGCCTATGGGGATACCAGTCAGGGTTGGTTTGGGACTCGAGAGTTAAGCAAAAGCATACTAAATCCCTCATATGCGTCTTTGATGGTCCACAGCGATCTCCTTATGCAATGGACGTGTTCTTGAATCAGCACTGAAGCCCGAAAAAAAACTCATGGACATCTTCTATAATAGTAAAGGGGAGGCCTCGGCCATAGGTTTATGGCCCTGGACCTCACTGAGGATCGAAGTGAATGGGCTCGATGCTCTAATAACCTTAAACCTTGGACATCATGCATGTGCGCATCCCGGGACATATCACACCGCGAAAAGGTGAGACACGGCGAGGAGAGAGAAGGTTGAGAGAGAGTGAGCGAGGAAGACACTAAGAAAGACGGAGCCAAAGAGGCAACGGAAGAGGCAGCCACAGTGATGGAAACAGAGGAAGAGAGCCATGGAAAGGAACGGTGAGGACAACGCTGAATGTGACTCCAAAACCTAAGCTCTTAAACCCCCGAACCCGTAAGCCCCGAAAAACCCGCTTATGGGATTCTTATATGAACCACAAAAACGAACTACTATGGGGCCTATGGGTAAGCTTCTATTCAATTCTCGTCTTTCCAATGATTTCGGCAGTTGCACTTCGCCACAGAAGCCAGGCTGTGCGGCAAGTGCACGATGAGGAGGTATTCCTGGACTTTGAATTGGTTTAGGTGCTTAGGGTTTAGGGGTTTATATAGGGGGTTAGGGTTTAGGGGTTTAGGGTTTCTCTGATGCTATCACCTTTTGTTCTCAAGCAGAAACTCCCCGACAGAGGTTGTGGTTCACGGTATAGCTGCCTAGATAATTAATATAGGGTCCGGGGGTCTATTGCTTTGAAAACTATTTACGGACTGTAAGGGAATATTATCATTCTCACGAACAAACCAAGCTCCTGGATTAGGGCCTTGGAAAAAAGCATGCGGGTTCAGTTTCGGGGCTTGGTTTGCATCGTTGTTTGGGGGTTCGCCGTTTTTTATGTACTGGGACTTTTTTTATGGGTAAGGGTTTGGATAGTACGTAGAGTGACCTTGTTTCGGGTGTAGTGATGACTTGTTGTTCTTGCGTTTGCTTCTACGGCGGTGTATGTAGTGCACTTGGTGTTTGCTACTGCTGTCTTATGCCGCCCCTAGTCTTGTGCTTCTGCGTTTGCTATTGCGATGGTGTATGTAACGTCCGTGATCCAGGACGCCTGGCCCAAGTCGTAGCAGTTAATTAGCCCCAGGCTTCCTTTAAGAGTTGATTAAAGGTTTCCCTTTAGGGCTTCCTTTAAGGGCTCTTTTCAGGGTTCCATGAGAAAAGGGCTCCACATAGAACGGCTTAGGGCAGCAACCCTAAACCCTAAACCCTAAACCTTAGACCCTAAACGCTACCTGCCGTAAACCGTAGACTCCGGACATCTCAACCTGCAGGAACCTGATTAAGAAACCTTCTATAACCCCGAAATAGTGGGTTTCATCTAAGGAACCCCAGTAAAGACCCAGGGTTTCTTAATCAGGTTCCTACATTATCCTGAACCCTGTTTTGAACTCCTCAACCTTATCCTGAACCCTAGACCCTAAACTCCACAACCAGTAAAACCCTAATCCCTAAACTCCTCAACCACTAAAACCCTAAACTCCTCAACCATCAACCAGTAAAACCCTAAACCCTAGACTCCTCAACCATCAAAACCCTAAACCATAAAACCAGTAAAACCCTAAATCCTAAACTCCTCAACCACTTATAAGGCATCCTGAACCCGAAAGGCTTGCGGCCCCTGGCCCGGCCCTGAATCCCTCGCTGCTCTCGGCCTGAAACGCGGCCCGTTCGACTAGCGCCGTGGCCATGTCGGCACATGCTGGAGTACTTAAAGGATCATGGGGCTTTCTAGGCATGTTTTAGGGCTCCTTTCAATAAGGGTACTATAGGTTCTATAATAGGGTTCCTTAAAGGGGTCTATAGGGGTTCTATAATGGGGATCATGGGACGTAGTAAGTATGGTTGTAAGTACCTTAGTATTAGTTGGGGTTATATGTAATTATAGGTATAGTTGCCCTAGTAGTAGCCCTAGTTACTAAGTCCCATGACCCTTTAAGTAGGTGCACAAACAGCACAAAGTTAAAAGGTTTAGGATGGTTTAGAGTTGATTGGGCTGTGCTGTAAGCTGCAACCAGAAATCTGAACCAAAAGCGTAGGAAACTTCGCACCGTCCTTGACGAAATGAAGTGGCTTGGGAACTCAGTGTATTCGTACACAAAGTAGTGTGCAAGACTGGCGGGGGTTGGGGGCGGAGGGTGTACATCACTTCTTGCAGACAAATAGCTGTCGGATGAAAAGAACACACTCGAAACTCTGTAGCATCGAAAATGAGAACACGACTCATGATGAAACCGACCATTGTCTTGAGCTACAGCCGCTCGCTTCCTACCATTTCTTCCTTGTCGGACAGCCTCTTGAGCCCAAAAGCTACATGTAAGAGTCTAATTACAACGAATCTGGTGTTGGCTTCTATACTTGCACAGCGCTGAAGACATGGCTACGAGCCGCAGAATTGGATCATGTTGGAACGTTTCAACCCCTGCGATAAGCCGATATGTGCTAGTGAAGAATAGCACATGTCACATAGTGATGCATCAGGCAATCGGGCAATGTATACTAGACAGTCCTGTCCTTGCAGCTCAAACTCTGGAACCTTGAAGCCCTGTGCCTCAAGTAAAGTCTTTAACCCAAGTCAATTATTCCTGCAAACTCCCCTAGCTCACAAAGCATTGAAAAGACTCGCATAACAAGAAAACATACGCCGAAAAGGCTTTATTCGACGATTGAAATCAAAAGTGTAGAAACTGCAGTCCGCATCCTGCATGCTGAAAATCCTAGAACCCCAAATTTAGAAGCTCAAAACCACAAACATCCGCAAACCCTGCGCTGTCACGAACTGGATAGGGGTAGGACCAACTAGTGCCAGGACTCCCTTATGAGCCCTTTGTATTTGTAACAGAGTGTAGCCCATAATCCTATTCTAATCATTAAGGTCCATACACTATAAAACCCTTGTAGCAGCTGTTCTGATATCTCTGTTAGTATCCTTTAGAGCAGTGCCTAACACCGTTTAACGAGCCTAACGAACCCTCTTCCATGAATGCCCTTACCTAGGGGCTCCATAGTAGTTCCTTTTTGGGGCTCATATTTAGAATCCTATAAAGTAATCCAAAAAAGGAACTACTATGGAGCCTATGGGCACTTACTAAGCAGATTCAAAGTTTGCCCTAAACCTAAACCCCAAACCCTAAACTCTAAACCCTAAACCCCAAACCCTAAACCCCAAACCCTAAGCCCTAAACCCGAAAGCAGATTCAAAGTTGGGGAAGCCGTAGGAAAGTGCCTCTTCAGGAGGCTCGGGCTCGTCGACATAACCCGGCCTCGCTGGAGTTGTTCTAGGATTTAGGGTTTAGGCCTTAGGGTTTAGGGTTTCAGGGTTTAGGGGTTCAGGGTTTAGGGTTTAGAGCTTAGGGTTTAGGGATTAGGGTTTGCCGTGCAGTGGCGCACAAGCGGAAGGATTTTGCGACAGTGTAATTTCGAGTGCGTCGTCTTCTGACGATAGGCCGTTGGAGCCTGATTGTGGATAACTTTTTCTTTTAACTCTCCCACCCCACGCCGTCTAAGGCGGCCAAACCACCCAAACCTGTTCCTTGTGGGGTTCAGCACCTACACTCATTCTATGGTTTTTTTCTCCAGCCGCACAACAGGGCAGCAGCAAGGCGGGCAGGGCAGACAGGGCAGGCCAGGGCAGGCAGGACCCCAGGAGTTTCGAAGGGTTTACACAAAGAAAGAGGGGGACCTCGCCCTAATTAAAATGCACACTTTGTGAACGGAATTGAAGCAAAAACCAGCACCAGTTTTCCACATGTCCGGAGCTTAGGGCGGAAGCAGGCACAAGGCAGGGCAGGGCAGGGCAGGGCAGGCAGGGCAGAGGCGGGCAAGCGTCTTGGGTCGCTCTGCGCCATCGAGGTCGAGGGGCTTAAGCGCCGCCCACCAGCGCAGGTGGGAGGCCTACGCCTTGAGTTTAGGATTCAGGGTTTGGGGCTTAGGGTTTAGGGTACAGGCTTTCAGGGTTTAGGGATTCAGGGTTTAGGGTTTAAGGTTTAGGGCAGATTTTCTCGGAAGATGGTCATGGAATGTGGAACATCTTGCCTCTCTCAAGTGAACTCTGAGGACACAGATTAAACAACAGCCGCCGCCAGAGAAGCAACTCTTCTGTTGCAGAACAGAGCTGCTGAGATCTGCTGGTGTCGTCAGTTGATTGAGGGCGACATGAAACGACTAATTACGCAGACTGTCCAAACGGCCGTTCGATCGGAAGTCTGGAGCAGTCAGCTTCCAGCGGTATGAGTTTTGGTAACTAGTTGGCCACCACTGGCCCAGCGGCTGTCGCCCGGCAGCGAAGGTAACAATCGACATGAGCTAGTCCGTGAACAAGGTCACAGTCATGACGATATTCACCACATCTACACTGGACACCCTCATTCGGCCCTCTTCTAATATCATGGGCTGCCTGGGTGCAATAGGAGGAGTTCGGTTTGGTCTTGAGAGTTCGGACCTGAAGCATGTCGAAGAAGACATTGCACGACACTGTGCGCTCCGGATCAGTACCTTATGTTCCGAACAGAACCAGAAAACCCAGTCTCAGGGACACTCCGTCCGCATGGACAAAAGGTACGTATGTAGGTGTGCATGTATGTGACTGGTTAAGTACTTATGGATGCATGCAGTAATGTATGCACGTATGCGAGCCTTATGTCGGTGTGTGGGTGTATGTATGGTTGCTTGTATGTGTGTAGGTGTGCGCCATGTCGTGTGTTTGTATGTTTGTATGTCCGTGCGTATGTTCCCGTGTGTATGTACGTATGCTTCATTTGTCTCGATCTTTGTCAGTCAGTCTGTTTGTCTGCCTCTCGCTCTGCCTGTCTGCCTGTCTGTCTGCATGTATGGATGGATGCATGTACTTATGCATGCATACAATATACATGTACGCATGCTTGTACGTACATATGTGGGGAGGTAGGCATGACTGTATGTTTTTTGAGCTTCAGCCCCAAGTGTGCGTGTGTATACGTATATATATATATATATATATATATATATACATACACACATGTCTGCATGTGTGCGTGTGCGAACGTGCTGGGAACACAAGAGCCTACGCTGCCTACCAAACTTGGTAATCCCTAAATTGCTAAACTGTACGAAGTCTTCACGGAAAAGCCTAAACCGCAAATTTCAAGCATTGGAAGGAAAGCTTCCCGTTATGAGTCCTAAGCCCAAGCAGGTCCTGAACCCCAGACCCTGAATCCCAGCCTAGAAGATCTCCCATAAGAACAAATCTATATCTATACCTGCCTATATATATATATATATATATCTCTCTCTCTCTCTCTCTCTGAATCTTCGACCTTGACAAAGCTGCAATTGTCTTACATAAGTCTGAGGTCATCTCTCCGGCGCTGGAGCGGTCCACTTTCCGTACTCCTGCTCAGATACAAAGTTGAGAGGATCGACGAAGCGACAATGGGCTTCCGGAATTCCATGTGGGAGTTTCCGAAAATTACGGGTACTTTATTTTGGGGTATCTATAATAGGGAACCTACTATTTAGGGTACTATGTTAGGGTCCCCTATTTTCGGAAACTCGTATGTTTCAGCAGAAAGAAGCTTCGCAGCTTGGGTTCCTGGTCGTCAGTCGGTTTGGTTAATAAAACGCCTTAGGAGACGGTGTCGTTCTACCAACCCATCATGACGATGTGTTGAGATCTTTTGAAATCATGTGCCCGGAATGCTGCAGCCGGAACCTGAACACCGACACCGACAGAGACGACACCACCGCCACCGGCCAACGACAACACCACCAACAATAACAACAACACCAGCACCTAAACCAAAACCAACACCCACACCCACACCGACGCCGACACCGACACCACCACCAACACCACCACCAACACCACCAACACCACCAACACCACCTCCACCACCTCCACCACCTCCACCGCCTCCACCACCTCCACCACCTCCACCACCTCCACCACCACCACCACCACCACCACCACCACCACCACCACCACCACCACCACCACCACCACCACCACCACCACCACCACCACCACCACTAGCAACACCAACAGCAACAACCAACAACACCGACACATACCGACACCACGACCCCAGCATCATCGACAGCAACAACAACTCCCAGACCACTGAGACCAAAACCAACAACAGAAGCAACAGCAAGACCAACGCCAGCGGAGCAAGAGTAATGCAATGTGGATCCGAAGCCGCAATAGTGACGCCAGGCAGAGCGGCCGCGATAAGAGCACAACCCGCCCTGAGCCTTGTCAACAACACAGGATCACCGTCCTTTAACATGAGAACTAGCACCGTGTCATCAGCAGAAGCACCATGATCTGCACAACCTGCACCGAAAGTCTCGTCTTTGTCATCCTGCTCATCAGCATGTCCGGTATGCCTTCAACAACAGCTGCAAAACCTTAAGCTTTACTTGATTCCTGCCTCGTCCTGGGATGCAAAGCTTCGGGCCACCACATGCGGCGGGCGAATTGCCCTGCACGCAGAGCGAACACAAATGATGGCGATATGATGGTGATGACGGTGATGATGACACTGATGTGTAACGATGTGGCGATCATGATTAGGATGGTGGTGGATCATGGCCGTGGCGGTTCCGATGGCGACTTTGGAATGTTAGTGACGAGTGCGCGACACGATGAGGACTATCATGTCCAGCCCAGTGGCTCCTCATGTGAAGGCTTGGGAATGAGATGCCCTGTCATCACCAGTCTTTTTGGAGCTTTTACCTGCCGAAAACATCAAAAATGCGATTGCCTGCCCTTCTGCGGTGGGACTTAGGAGTAGGAGCAATAGTAATAGTAACAGTAATAGTAATTCTACACGTGCTCACACTGTTAGAGTTGAGCCTAAACCCTTGTCACTGTAAGAAAAAACCTTGTCGTTGTGATTGGAAGGCTTGTCAGTGTGCCCCTAAACCCTGTCGAGGCAAAGATCTACTCTGTACAGGAGACATGTTTGCTGATCCTCGCTATCCCAAGCACAATTCCTACCTACAAGGAGGTTGCGTAGCTGCTGCTCGGATCGCTTACTGAAACGCTGCAAGGACGACATGAGGGACTGTTTTGTTCGCGTGTGGCACTGAAGCAGTAGCAACAGGAGGGAACTGTCACAGCCATGGCATATGATTTCAATCGCAGCCAGAGCTACGCGACTACCAATGCACCTACAAAACCAACTGCGACGACTGGTACTCCGCGCAGATGGGAATGTTGCTACTGCGATTCGTGCTGGTAGGAAATGTCCCACTGGTACTACTAGCAGACGACGACGACTACTACTACTACGACGACGGCAGCGACGATATGATAATCATAATGATTCCTCTTCTTTGGCCTCACGGCGCCGTCTGCGAACTGCACGTGGTAGCGGCCGGTCTGGGGGTCAAAGGCGACGATGGTCCCCACCTTTCCAGTGGTTTCGGGCTCAGGGTTGTTAGGGTTTAGGGTGTAGGGAGGACTTAATTCGGTCCTGGTTCCTGAGTGGCCCCTTCATCATAAGGGTAGCCTTTTTGATACTATTTGCTGTGCATAAGCGAACCCAAAGAGAAAAAGGGCAAACGGGTACTTACTGATCACGAACCGAGAGATTTTTGGGGTTTAGAAAGCAGGGTTGAGGGTTCAGGGCTGTCGGTGCAGGGTCCCTCCACCACTTCTCAGGGTCCCGCCGCCCTCTTAGCTTAAGCTTAAGGGACCCAGAAGATTACTTGAGTCGTGTGCGCCCTAATCAAAAAGAGTATCAAAACAGTATCAAAACCAAAATACGAATAATGTGTTCATGACCCCTTGGAGTTGGTTTTGAAAGTTCGAAAAAATTTCAACAAACCACTAATGCAGTGATACCGCAGTCGTCTACCTTTGCGCGACTCGAGAATTCAGCATCAGATTCGGACGGTGGCTGCCGGATTGAAAGGATTTACTAACGGTTTAGGGTCTAGGGGGCCCTAACCTGTCTAGTCATAAAGTCATAGAGTCATAAACTCTGAACTCCCTAGCGCGACATCCGGAAACGTGCACCTCCGCCTCTGTCAGAGGGAGGGTCAGGGGGTAGGTTCCATCGTCGGGGTTAGGTTTTCGGGTTCAAGGTTGGGGTTTAGGGGTTACTTGGAGGATCATGGGAATTAGTAAGTATGGTTATATGGACCTTCATTGGGGTTATCAGTAATTCTACGTCTAGTTACTTGATCCTTGAAGCACCCCTGAAACCCTAAACCCTAAACCCCAAACCCTAAACCTGATCTTGTAAGTAGGGGTTAGGAGAGCGGATCCTGCAGGATGAAGACGTGAGCCTCCAGAGGGGCGGGAGAGTTTACATGTAGAGGCCCAGAGCCCAATAGACAAAGGACCCCGGGGTCTAGGGTTTAGGTTTGCGGTTTAGGCTTAGGGTTTGTGGCTGAGGTTTGCGGTTTAGGCTTAGGGTTTAAGGTTTAGGTTTGGGGTTTAGGCTTAGGGCTTAGGGCTTCGAATCGAACTTTGATCAAAAGCCGGGGGGACTTCTTGCTTTTGAATCTGCTTTCGCCGTCGAAAACCATCTGGCTGTGAACCAGTCTTGGAAAATTCGGATGCCCCGCACACATCTTCTGAGATCGCGTAGGATACTTCCCTGTGTAGTTTCAAGCGAGGCTTCTCGTTTGATCAAGAACGGAGATACATCATAAACACCAAATAAGTCTATCTGTATATACTAGTATGCGTACATACATCTATATGTATATATATATATATATATACATATATAGATATGATAAGTAAATGCATAAGTCTTTCCAACATGATTGCTGAGAGCCGAATCACGGTTGTCATCCACAAGCTACTAGATAAGTGTCTCTCTCCAACCCTAAACGCTGCAAACACTCGATCGCTCTCTTTCCGACGGACCGGGCTTATTTTCTGAGCCCCGCCAAAAAGTTAAACTTTTAGCCTCCTTATCATAGCTCCTATAGAAACCCCCCAAAAAGTGAAAGTCCTAAGAGTCAACCAGAAGAACGCCACGTTTTGGATGGCCTCAGCGGGGGGGCATCCTGGGTTTGTCAGTCGCGGTTTAGGGGCTCCAGGGTCCACAACGTCAAGAAGTTAGGGTGTGGGGTTAGGTACGGCCCCCATAACAGGAGGAGTCTATAATGGGGTCACTTTTTTGAGGTCCTACTATATCTATATTATGAATATTATTCAACTATAACTGACTGGGGGCCGTACCTAAGCTGTCGGGTTTAGGTTTCAGGGTAGGGTTTCCGGTAGACTCCAATATCCTTAAAACCCCATGTGAAAAATCATCCTTGACTCGTCGGAGGAGCTTAGAGTGTTCGCGCTTCTTGACTTCGTGGTTCGAAGCTTGGTGAGAAAACTGTGTATCCTACTGTTTAGGGTTAAGGTTTTGGCGCTTAGGATTTGGGGTAGCACCCCTAAACCCCTAGGCCCCTAAACCCTAAACCCCTAAACCTTATAGGGTGTCGGGGCAAGGCTTAGGTCCGGTAAGAGCACGCCTCCAAGCGCGAGATCCCTCCTCAAAAACCGAAGGTGGGAAACTGCTTTCAACAAGCTTTGCAAAGGATGTCGATGTCAAGGAGCATGAGTGCAATAATTAAAGACTTCTCCACCTATTCATCGAACCTTGTGCAGAGGTCCAGGAAACAAGTGATTTTAGGTGTTCCGGTAGCAAGGCGAAGATACCAAAGCACTCGATCTCCGAAACAGGGCAAGCTTTTGCATGCCGCTCTAGTCGACATGATCATTACTTCGCTCGTAGCTGCACTTCTCTCTCACTAGGCGCCCCTGAACATGGCCTTGCGGACGGCTCAACATTGCAGCATGGGGTTCAGCATTTGGAGTGGGTTCAATTTTGGTCAGGGATGGTAGATATGCCCCACAGCTTTCCAAGGTGTGCTGAAGCCTTTCCTTTCTTTGCAGCCTGTGACCACAGCGGACAAAAGACATGTGCATGCAAAGATGAATCAACGCATATGCTATTCAATGAACAGATGCAGTGCACGCGTGTATGCACACACACACATATATATATATATATATATATATATATCATATATCATATACCATATGTCATATATCATATATCATATATATATATATATATATATATCAAATATCATATCAGCTTGCATATATATATATGTATATATATATATATATGTATATATATATACACATAAATATACACATGTATGTATGTATGTATGTATGTATGTAGGTCTTATATACATATATGATATATACAGTATGCACATGTGTATGTACACATCTATCTATATATGTATATATATATATATATGTTGATTGATAGTGTCTATAGTATAGCCTCTACGCAGACCAGACATGATTCAGGCATTCTTCTTGTCTAAAGTAACACTGCACACGACATAGGTAGAACCTGAAAGGCGAAGCGTTAGGGCTTGTGGCCCAGCTTTGCATGTGGAGTGCTTGCGCTGTTTCGTCCCTACACCCTACTAAAGTCTAACGATTACATTGTGCTGCAACTTTGTCGTAAGCATTGAAGCCTTCGGCTCAGCGAAGTAAGCTTGTAATTTCGGTGCCTTAACAATTAGAAAACAAGTTTGGGGTATCTGACAGTTTGCATCTATGAAGGAAGCCCACGGAGTAGTAGTAGTAGTAGTAGTAGTAGTAGTAGTAGTAGTAGTAGTAGTAGTAGTAGTAGTAGTAGTAGTAGTAGTAGTAGTAGTAGTAGTAGTCCAACCCCTATCCAAGAGGGTCCATATATACTCCTAGGCTGGATTTAAGGCCCCAAACCATGATAGGGATGGTCTTTTGAGACCTAATTCCGCCATGGTACTGTGTGTGTGTATATATATATATATATGGACCCGTAGGGTAGGTTAAGTTCTGTCGGTGGTTGTTGCCACATCTAATTTCATCAAGCCGCGCCAAGCTGTTCACCGGCATCCAAGCCAGTAAGTTTCTCCTTCAGGGGCTGATGCCATAATTCTGACACCCTTACCTCTGAAACCTAAACCCTGAACCCTAAACTCTCACCTAAACCCACACCCAACTAAATGCCCTAAACCGCACGTACAGAGTACTCGCTTATGTCTGTGTGTCTGTAGTCGGTCCGGGGGTCCGTCCGTCGGTCCTTCCGTCGGTCCGGGGGTCCGTCCGTCGGTCCGTCGGTCCGTGCGTCCGTCGGTCCGCTCGTGCGTCGGTCCGTGCGTCCGTCGGTCCATCCGTCCGTCGGTCCGTCCCTCCGTCGGTCCGTCCGTCAGTCCGTCCGTCGGTCCGCGTCCGTCGGTCCGTCCTACGTCGGTCCGTCCGTCCGTCCCTCGCTCTCTCTCTCTCTCTCCCTCCGTCTCTCCGCCTCCCCGTCTCCCTGTCCCTCCGTCTCTCCGTCTGTCCGCCTCTCCGTCTCTCTTTCTGTCTTTCTGTCTCTGTGTCTGTCTGTCTTTGTCCGTCTTTGTCTGTCTCTGTCTGTCTATGTCTGTATGTGTCTGTCTCTGTATGTCTCTCTCTGTCTCCGTCGGTCGTCTCTGTCGGTCTCTGTCCGTCTCTGTCTGTCGCTGTCTGTCTCTGTCTGTCTCTCTGTCTGCCTCTCTGTCTGTCTCTCTCTGTCTCTCCCTGTCTCTCTGCCTGTCTGTCTGTCTGTCCGTCCCTCGGTCCGTCTGTCGGTCGGTCGGTCGTTCCGTTCGGTTCTGTTCTGTCTGTCTGGTTGTCTGGCTGTCTGTCTGTCTCTCTGTCTGTCTGCCTGCCTGCCTGTCTGCATGCCTGTCTCTCCGTATGTGCCTGTGTATGCGTATGTACGATGCCGAGATCACTACTGGCCTTAGACTGGTTGCCTGTCCCGTTTCCATCCCTAACTGGTGCAGCTTGACGGCACACAACCCCTGTCGGCTCAAATGTACATTCAATTAACCCTATCTGCCATTTCTTACTGCTATATACAGTTTTTCCAGAAACCACAGCGTCTAATCAAATCCGCAATCCCCATGCAAAATCAGACGCACCTACATATAATGTGCATGCATGGACCACTCTGCCATCTTCATCCGTCCTTTCTTCCATTGGCGCTCGTATCCCCGACTGCTTGCGACCCCAACTACAAAAAATCCCTTTGGGCCCTGTCGCTCCGTAATGGCCACCGCAGCAATGCCGACCATGGCCAGACGCCCGTTGCTGAGCTCCTCTGTAGTGCTACCAAGTGTATCGTTCAGGCTTGGGGTTTTAGGGTTGAGAAAGTATTTGGACAGCCAAGGGCGAAGGGTGTCAACGGCTCAATCCAACGTCTGAGAGACTTTGAGGGGCAGGAAGCGAAGTATGGAGGGTTGTCAGCTCGGCGAATCAACCAATGAACCCTGAATCCCGAGAGTGCGCTGTGCCCCTGCCACGCGTTTGAATATGAGGCTGCATCCACAGCACTCCGCGTGAAGTTCTACTACTTTATGTGTGGCGTTCTACTTGCTTGTTGTCACGAGGTCACGAGGTTGCATCATAGGGACCCGTAGGGGGGTAAGGGGGAGGGGGGGTAGGGGACTATACTTCCTTCAATCGGCCTTACTAAAGCCTTATTATGGGCATTAAGGCCCCCTATGCCCCCTCCCCCTACCCTCCGAAGGGTCCCCATGGTTGCATGAAAACTCACTGTCGGAGCAGTTCGCTCTGAACGGCTTTGGGGACTGAGAAACTTGAACACCGGAAATCAAGTGCTCTTATGGCCAACATGGTCAACCCGGAGACTCCAAAATCCCTGAATTAAGGATTCTACCTTAAATCTTCAGAGGGTTACTATTATAACTTAGGGTATCTTGCTTAATTAAGGGGTTTTGGAGTCTCTGGAAAGAGGGGGGTAGGGCTTCGTGTTTAAAGGGAGTTACAGACACACACACTGCCTGGCTCCAATTCCTTCCTCGGCTGCGAAGGTTAGGACGATGGAGGGTGTCAAAGTAGCCTAGGTTCCTGAGTGACCCCATAATAATACTTGTGCCAGTTTTTCCTAATACTCAGTTTGAATAAGGGAGCCATACAATGCAAGAGGCAAGAGGGTACTACTCAGGAACCTCGTAACAATTGCTGCAACTGTCTGCGGCGTTGACTGCGACAGCTCTTCTACTTGTCACTGAACACCTTTGTCGTCTCACTATTGACATGACCGTCGTATCTATTTCCAGTAGGAACTAAAAGTAAAGATGAACTTGAAGTACAGAGGCACACTACCACTAAACATGGGAACTCAACTGTGCGGCTGCATCAACCCATGAATGAGGAAAGGTCGTTGATTGAGCCTGCAGACGATTGAAACCCACATCTTAACTTAGACAGTCAGGACGAACAGCAGTATTATACACATGGATCCACCAACGCCCAGATCCTAGCCGTGCAGACCCCTACAGAGACTCTTCGGAGCATTAGCCCCGATACCTCTGAAACCCCAACTCCTGATACCTGATGCCCCACATCCCAGCACGGCGTGCCTTATTCTGCATGTCTAGATTGTCTCCGCCATCCTTCTGCAAGGAACCCCCCCCCCTAAACACTAAATTGTCTTCTGGGTGTTGCTGGAGTTCACACTTCGGGACTTCCGGCTTAGCCTTTCCTTCACCTGCATTCTTACGCTCCCTCGCCATGACTTCTTTATCGCACTCCTGAAAAGGGTAGGTCATGTGGGGTCAAGGCTACGGTTCAGGACTCAGACTTCAGGGCTTCGGGTGTTGTTTAAGGTGTAGGGCTTAAGGTCAAGATCTACGACTACATATATATATATAGATATATATATAGATATATATATATATATATATTATATATATACGGGTTATTCTTCCCGGCGGCTTCTGCTTGCACACTTTCGTGTCGCAACATACCCTTCTACAACTTGGGGTTTAGGGTTTTTGTTTGGTGTTGCACTGAATATAGGGGCCTGAATGATTACCAATACTATGTGCGGGGGAGGTGCTCATAATGATAGAATCTACCCCGAACCCTATTCTACTTATTAAGGCCCCTACATTACGCTTAAAGGCTGGCGACACTGAGGCTTTCGGAAACTCGAAGGCCATGCAGGGCTTACTTGGAGGGGCAGGGGACTTAGCAAGTAGGTTGTAAATAGAGTTATAAGTACCCTAAATGAAGTTACACCAATTATAACCCTACTTATAACCCTACTTACTAAGTCCCCTGCCCCTCCAAGTAGGGTTTAGAGTAGGAGTTGCTCAGTGGCCAAGATTACCACTCTGAATACCATCCAATACCATCCAATGCAGTTCCTTCGTTTGTCTAACCAGTTCGATGTTAGAAGCATTAACAAGGAAGCAGGCCGCCGAAGACTGAATTAGGCTTGGTCTAATGCCAAAACCCACAACTAAGGTTTACAATCGAGGGTGCAAGTGCAGATAGCCCCAAGGGTCCAAAGGACCCAATAACAAGGTACTCGGTTTTAGGATAGTAGTTATGTAGGTTAGGATTTCGGAGAGTATATGATCATTAGGTACTTGGACCCTTGGGGTAGGGCTTACCTGTCTTCTAGGTTTGCGGGGGACTTGGGCCGGTGCGCCAAATCCTGTGAATCCCAACCCAAGCCACGGTGCGCTAGCATTCTAAAGCCACAACGCTCTAAACGCTGAGCCCTCTAATTATTAGACTCGGAACCCTAGAACTTCCTAACTCGAAACCCCCTGAAAGCCCTAAACCCTCATAGTAGCCTCTTCATAGAAAGATGAGCCCTAAATCCATCTAGCAATCCCGTTACAGACCCTATAAGGGTCCATGTACTCACACAGTATATATATATATATATATATACATTGGCCTTTATGTAGTCCCTATATAGGTACTTAGGGGCCCATGTATCTCTATATGGGTACATGGACCCTTAAACTATAGAACCCTTATAGATCCCTTATAGAACCCTTATAGTAATCCTTAAAGGAACCCCTAGTTGGGTACATGGACCCTTAGGGAGAGTTCTGTGGCGCCTCGAGGTTCATCATCTTTGCTAAGCCCAGGGGATCACCGAAGGAACCGGCTCGAACTCGGTCGTCCTCTGTCTCTGTCTCAGTTAAATAAATAAATAGCTATAACTGAAAAAGAATAAATGTGTGTATATATATATATATATATATATTATATGTATATGTATCATATGTTATATGCATATGTATCACCATATATACCCACACATAAACGTTACTTCCGCATGTATATATATGTATGTATATATATATATATATGTATGTATATAAGTTGAGCATGTATATGTGTACAATATCTATATGATCTGATGTAGTCCCTCTCACTCTGCATCACATTTGCTTGTGGGGCTTGCGGTTTAGTGTGCAGGGGTTAACACTAGGGTTAGGGTTCTCTCAGGGTCATCCTGCGATTGTAATAAGAGGTGTGATAGGGCAAGAGTAGGGCCTGGCGGATTATTATACTATCCCTAGATCCCAAACCCTAACCCAGGGCGATCACAATCGTGGTTTACAGGTTTCAAGGCTTCTGAAGCTTTGCGCAGAGGGTTTCTGATCTAGATGTGTTTCCAGCTCTTGCGAAGTTCTGGGAACAGGTGAGCTAAGAGTCTTTGTGTTAAAGCCACCGTGCAACTGTTAAAGGTTTTGCAAGATTGTAGGGTGCAGGGCTAAGGGCCTTAAAGCACAGCGGGCTAGCAGAGAGGTTTAGGCTTTAGTTAAGGCTTCCGGGCTCACTCCCCAAAGCCTAAGCCGGTTCAGGGTTTCCATGTGAGAAGGCCGCTCGAAACCGGACGGTGCAGTCAGGCCGACTACTCGCAAGACCTCCCTGACCTTCAAGCATTTTAGGAGACACTGTATGCTGAACCTCAGGAAAGCCCAAACACTTCGAGATATTTCTGTGCACGTGCGTGTATGTGTATGTATATGTATGTATATATATATATATATGTAGAGTGTAATATTTTTTTGTCTTTATGTAAAGATGCACATACAGACATACATTCACGTATACAAACACACAGAAGCACTCAAGTCCCTAAAGCCCTTCATTTAAATCCGAAATTTAGCTGGGCCTAAGCTGGCAGACCTTAAAAAGTGCGAAGCTGTTGACCTGCAGCGGTGCTTGTCGATATGGGACGCTTGTCTGGATAACTTCCTAAACCCTAAACCCTAAAACCCAAACCCTAAACCCTAAAACCTAAACCCTAAACCCTATGAATAACTTCCTCATCTTCCAGCTGCGGCCAAAGAAGGCAAAAGCACGCCAACCAGAAAGTTTCGGGTTTACCTAAACCCACCCAAAGTAGGTACAATAATGGCCCAATTCGCCAAAAAAGCGATTATTCTACATACTTTTGGGGTCCAGGTAGGGCCGAAAACCACGAAAAGATTCGACAAGACCGACTGCTGGGAAAGCCGTTGTGAAACACCAGCGGGCTCTCGTTGGGAAGAGCAGGCATGCGAGAGTGGCTTTGAAGAGCGGCCAGGAGAAACCTGCTGATTCTTGCAGCATGACCAGGCGAGGATGCCTTTAGTAACCCTATCTTAAGAACCCCAAAAAGCACGTGCAGAAGTGGGCCAAAACCCTGTGCCTTCAAAGATGTCCAAAACGCAGCTCGCAAAACTCTGATCCGGCATCCCCCAGCACATCCTGCGTCAAGACGACAACCTCCAGGTATCCGGAGATAATGAACAACAGGGAGAAGCCAAAAAGTGCCGCCGAGTTGTTGAGGGCCTCAGCTGATGCTATATCGAAACACCCAAGATAAAAATAAGAAACAAAAACAGATCTAATGAACCTCCGTCTGGAAGCTTGCCAGGTGTTGGGGCTGGTAACGGCTTCGGAGAGTTTAAGGTTTTGGAATAAAGTGTGTATATATATGGTATATATTACACGATGGATATAAACAGATGTTTACCGAACAAAGGGCACTTGCGAAATTGTGGTAGAACCTTGCCAAAAAGACTTATAAGCCACAAAACCCAATTCCACACCCAGACACCCGCGCCCTGGGATTTCAGGCCCTTGGTACTACGGTTCTACAATAGGGTCGCCTTTTAAAGGGTACTACGGGGTTCCAAACTTGGGTTCCCTTTTAAAGGGCTCCTGAAAGGGTTTGAGAAAGGCTTTATCGTAGGGGTTTAGGGCTTCAGGGCTTAAGGCTTCAAGCTTACACTGAGAGTGTACTTGGAAGGGCAGAGGACTTAGTAAGTAGGTTATAGGTGGAGTTATAAGTACCCTAAATGGAGTTACCCCAATTATAATCGTACTTATAACCCTACTTACTAATTAAGTCCCCTGCCCCTCCAAGTAGGCAAGGAGTTAAGCCCTGGGCCCAGAATGCGTGGGATCACTCAAAAGACGCCTTGACACACTTGGAGGTTCATGGGCAGTTATAAGTGGGGTTCCTTTAAGGGTCCCTTTAACAGGCTCTATAGGGATTTAGGGTTTAGGGACTGGGGTCTAGGGTAGTTATAAGTGGGGTTATAAGTCCCCTAATAAGGGATATAAGTATAGTTACCCTACTTACAACCCCCACTTATAACTAAGTAGGGTCTTAGGCCCAAGAGAGTGCTTCGAACCGGCCTAATCGGGTGCAGGAAAGGCCACCAAGATTGGCTTTCCAGGGTTTTCCAACATACGGTCATAAGTGAAAAGGAGAGAACAAAAGTAACCAGACAATTTCAAAGGACAAGTGTAAGCAAAAAGGACAGTTAATTCAACAAAAACATGGGCCGCCCTTGCAGCCAGATCCTGATATGGAATCCCTGCGGAACGGCAATCTGAGCACCCGGCACCGATTCCTGCAGGGAAGCTTGCGACAGATTGGTTAGTATTTTAAGAGTTTCAAAGACCTTCGGCTCGAAATTCTTGATGATTACGTACCTTCTCTGTTCTTTGGAGTATGGGACGCTTCAGAAATGCCCTAAACCCGAAACCCTCGCTTTCTCTACGGGCTTCATGACAAGAATCCTGCTGTCTTGGGTCTTATTGAATCGTTGGTCCCTGAACCGTAACCCTAAACCCCAAAACCGTATACCCCTGAAGCCTAAACCCTACACCCTAAGCACCTGAAACTGATTTCGAGACCCTGGACCCCATAACCCGGAGCTCCTAAACACCGCACTCCCGAATTCCAGAGCTAGTTATAAGCGGGGGGGTTATAAGTAGGGTAACTATAATTATGACCCTTATTAGGGGACTTATAACCCCACTAATTCCTACCCAGGAACCTCTAAGTAGCAAAAAGTCTTATAACCCCTACTCAACCCTTTAACGACCTTACTTTTTAAGAGAGCCACAAATCAGCTAGCATACGCTTCAAAAGTGCGGAATTCTGTTGGATCTATGTTGGAAGTCTGTAGGTTATTAAGAGCTGTAGACACAGGTGTTAAAACTGCTATCATAAGGGTGGATTATGGGTTTGTGGGTGGCTTGGGGCTGTAGGGTTTGTTAGGGCTTCGGGTTTAGTTAGGGCTTATACGGTTTTAATGTTTCGGGAATGTTGGGGCTTATAGGGTTTACATTTGTTTCTTTGGATTTTAGGGCTGTAGGGCTAACGGCTTTAGGTTGACGGCTGTGGGCTCGTGGACCAGGGTTCAATATGGCCGAGGACATTTACAAAACCTTTTGTGGAATCCTTGATTTCCCAAGCAACCCTAAACCCTAAACCCTAAACCCTTAAGCAAGTCACAGGCTGGGTGGGTGCACGATACACCGGTTTCTGGAGGTCCGGTTGCACTGGCCCCGACAACGAGGGCTTGGGGTTTACGGGGCTCCCGTCTCGCGGACTACTTAGAGGATCATAGGACTTAGTAAGTATGGTTATAAGTACCTTAATGAGGGTTGTAAGTAATTATAAGTATAGTTGACTTAATAATAACCCTAGTTACCAAGTCCCATGATCCTTTAAGTAGCCGTCAACAGGCTAAGGACTCACGGGTGACAGCTCGAATCCGGCAATAGAAAAGCCCCTTCCGCCCTGATCTGCCTGGCCTAGAGGTTGGCCGTCGAAGATCGGCAAATGAACGAAATGCTGAGTGATGGCTCCCACCTCACAAGCTGCGCAAATCGTGCACGCAGGGAGCCTGCTGAACCCTGGAAGGGAGTCACTAGAGTCACTAGAGTGTACTGGGAATGAGGTGTCGCATCTTGAACCTTAGCCTTGTCTGCTGCAAGCGAATGAAAAGCGAAAACGTGCATTGATGCTGCTCCGTGACAACCTCTGTATATATGCATGTCTCGTAGATGGAAGTTGTATGCAGGCATGTGCTCTGTATGTACGTACGTGAGTATGTAAGCGAGTCAGCGAAGAATCAGTATGAGTATGGATATACATCCATGTATGTACCTGTGCACGTGAGTGTAGAAGGAGTAGGTGCCTATGCCCTGTTTGCACGCCCGCGTCAAGTTTATACGCCCTACTCGCCCTACCTGTCTATCTGTCTATCTAACTATATGTATACGTACGTATGCAGATAATGCAAGTACTTGTGCTACGATGGCTTGTCTGTCTGCTTGCGACACCTTGCTGCAACGAAGCCAAGGGGCGACCGCGAGCATCGCCACCCTGCCGTGTTTCAGCTCGGCCTGGAGAAAAGCTGCAGCGAGGAGGAACAAATAAAGGAAGCCAGATCATTGCAAATAGTATTGGTTGAGGGTCGCTTTTTTACTATACGAACTATACTATAATGAGCCTCCAAAACCTATTCTCATTATTGATGCCCCTATAATACACGCTTCCCAAATACAAGCACCATGCTCAGCTTCGCACACATCGCAGGCGGAAGAAGCTCTCCTGTCTCGAATCGCTGGAAGGTTCGCTCTGCCAAGCGTATATAAGCAAGGTACCACAAACACGAATCATCCTTATTAGCAGTTTGCTGTTCATCACGCTCACCGGTGAGAATCTACCTGTTTCAAATGTACACCGGTGGCTCTAGCTGCGCATGCAGCTGGTGGTAGTTCTGGTAATATCAGAAAACACTTTTCGCTCTGAACAATGCATGCATGGTTTCTTATGAAGATCATCACTTGCCGTCTTTGATATGTTGGTACCATCATTCCTGTGGTGTGTTATGTCGGAACCCTTCATGCTCCACTACAAAGAGAGACTAAGTTTAGAGAGCTTGAGGACAATCGACAGGTATTAGGGGACGCATGTGAGGGAAGGCTACCCGGGGCATCACAATGAAGATACGAGTTTCCGAAAGTTACGGGACGCCAAGATAGACCACGTAAGGATCCTAATATGGGAGTTCCCGAAAACAAGGGGACCTTATTTTGGGGCCCTTATCATAAGGATCCTACTATTTAGGATACTACAGTAGGGTCCCCTCTTTTCGGAAACCCCCATATATGCACGAAATTAGGGTCCAATCGGGTCGAAGGCTCGGTTCTTCCTAAAAGCTGTCCAGTCTGCACGAGGGCAGCAAATGGGTGGTTGTCAAAATTATCGTCCCTTTTCGGGGTCCCTAATATAGTACGGCACCTATGAATTAAGGTTCCCGAAAAGGGACCCTAATTTTGACAACTACCCAAATGCAACAACGGAAGCACCTCCGGGTTCAGGGTTCAGGGCGTCAGGACTTAGCAAGGTTCAGGCAAAGCAGGCCTTGCTCTAAGGGTCCCTCCTTTTCCCCTTTGAGACTCAGTAGGGTTCAGCAAAGCGCACCACGGTCTTATGGCCGGCCTGGCTCTCGCTGATAAGGTGCAAAAGAGGGCATCAAGGGCTACTGAACTCAAACCCCTGTATTCAGACCTTTCAAAATCCCTTAATGAAAGACTATGCCTTACATCATCGTAGGATCCCTAATAGAATTTAAGGTGTATTCCTTCATTAAAAGACTTTCGTTCAAAGTATACTTGGAGGGTCATGGGACTTAGTGAGTATGGATATAAGTACTTTAATTAGGCTTATAAGTAGTTGTAAGTATAGTTACCCTAACAATAACCTTAGTTTACCAAGTCCCATGATCCTTTGAGTAGACCCTAAAACCACTCTTTACATAGAACCCCTATAGATCCCTTTAAAGGAGCCCCTTTAAAGGAACCCTAAAGTTACTAAGTCCCATGATCCTTTAAGCAGGCTTCTGTCCTTCATGGCCGACTCGCCGCCGGCCTTGCAGGGGGTTTCGGCGGCTTGGGAGACTGCTTGGAGGTTCATGGGTGGCCATAAAATGGGGTTCCTTTAAGGGTCCCTTTAAAGGGCTCTATAGGGATTTAGGGTTTAGGGATTAGGGTCTAGGGTAGTTATAAACGGGGTTATAAGTCCCCTAATGCGGGTGAAAAGTATAGTAATCCTACTCATAACACTACGTATAACTACCCATGACGGGTCATAAGTCCCCTAATAAGGGTTATAAGTATAGTTATCCTACTTATAACACTACTTGTAACTACCCAAGAGCCTCCAAGTACTGCCTGGTTCTGACTAGGAGTATGGGGATTCATTCTGGGGTCTATTCTTGGGGGATTATATAGGGACTACTGTAAGGAAGCACCATGGAGACTAGTTTTAAGGGCTTTAGGTTTCAAGGCTTGGGGTTTTCTGGGCTTCGGGTTTAGGGCTTCGGGGGTTTAGGGTTAGGGCTTCGGGAGATAAACAAAATTAGGGTTTTCCGTGGGGCAGGGCTCCGGGCTGACTGGCAGGGCTGTCTGTTGGGGGGTTTTAGGGTTTGGGGAATGATTTATGTTCGGGTTGCGCTTTATAGGGCTTATCTCAACAACCCATCATAATAGATAGCATAAAGGCCCAACACCTATAACAGGCTATTATCACATAGTTTTGGCGTCCAGGTAGGGATAAATTAAAGGCTGAAACGTATTCGTTTTCTAGGGGGGTTGGTTGTTCAGGGCGTACCCTAAGCCCCAAACCTTAAACAACATAAACCCTAACAACACACCCGAAAACCCTCAAACGCTAAACCCTGAAACCCTAAACCCGTGTGGTTCAGCGACGGCTGGGCTGGCGGCCAAAACCGCAATTAGGCCCGACTCAACTTCCTATGGTGTAGGATTTCGGGTTCAGGTTTAGGTAACGGGGTTTAGCACTTATGGCTTTGATAAGGGCTTCGGCTGCAGAGGTCGAGGGTAACAAGCAGCGAACGCGAAAATCCGGTCCGCGCGGATCCTTTGAGAGCCCCGTGCCTGCAATTCCAATACACTGCAGAGGCCTTCAGGGTTGGGAATCCCGGTCCGGTTTGGGTTTAGGATTTAGGGTTTAGGCTTTAGGGGTGTAGGGTTTAGGATTTAGGGTTGGGAATCCCGGTCCGGGATGGGTTTAGGGTTTAGGATTTGGGGTTTGGGGGTCGTGGACCTTTTGTGCCTGGTTTTGGGCTTTAGGAAGAAGGATGGGGGCCTCAGTTTCAAATCGCCCTCAAATTCTCCCAAAGGGTGGTAGGATGCAGGGTTTCTATAGTAGGAGTATTCCCCATAGCCGTACCTTGGACCCTTGAGTCTTCCATGCTCTCTACCTACTTGTCGGGTATCATGGGGAACTAAAGGTTAACCTGCTTAGTTATATAGGGTTTATATAGGGTTTATGTAGGGGCTATATTACCCAAACAGGTTAAAGCTTACCTACTCGACTACTAGGTCTGTCCGGAGGACTGCTTGCAGGAGAAGCCTTCGACACGAAGCCCAGGGGATCCCAGGTGTAGAGCGGTGCAATCGCTCCTGCCTTCGAGCTGATTTAGGGTGGCAGTGTGAAAATCCGATGATCTAATCTAGGGGCCTTAATTATTAGAGTAGGGTTTTTGGATCTCCTTATCATGATTAAAGTTGAATATACCCCCGAGCCCTGTTCTGATTATTAAAGCCCCTATATTGCAGTCTCATTCGGGTTCGGCGATCTGGTGCTTGAACACCCTGAACCCTTGAGGCTTGAGGCGGTAGTGCGGAAGGCTTTTAGAACCGAAAAATAGTATTGGCAGTCCCAGTAGCAGTGGCAGTAGCTGCAGCAGCTGTAGCCGTAGCAATGCCAGAAGCAGGAGCGGCAGCGGCAGTAGCAGCAGTGGCCGCAGCAGCCGCAGACTTTTGACTGCTTTTCAGGTACGATTACCATCTGTATCAGTACCATTATAGCGACAATAGTACTGATGTTATATCAAGTGTACTTCAGTTACTATATTATGATCGGACGCTCTAGTTCCTCGACGGCAGCAGACCTTGCACTTGCTACTGCCACTACTCAAATTCGTCTTGCCGTTAGTACGACGGCCATGATCAGTACATGCAGTCGCTCGTTAAACTTACTGTCGTGGATACTTACATTCTCTTTATAACATGTATATATATATATATATGTATATATGCATACATGGATATATAACTACATTCCAGCCTATCAAGCAATTCCCCACGATGCTGGCAACACCAGCCGCTTGTTCAAGCCCTTACCGCACTACCGAGGGCTGTCGTCTGCTCGCAAGCACGGGGGCTGGAGACAGCAAGCCAAGCCTCGTACTGGACCTCATACATTTCTTGCTTCTTCTTCTTGGCCTCGCAAGCAACAGAGAGAAAGGTGAGAGAGATTGCTAAGAGAAAGTGGGAGAGAGAAGGACACGCAGCGAGGAAGAGGCAAATGTACAGTGTCTGTCTCGCTCCCTCCATATGTAGGTATATATGTACGTAAGCAGGTACATATGGCAGTAAGTAAGTCTGCATATACGTAGGTATGTATGTATGTAGGTAGGTAGTTAGGTATGTACATGCGTGTGCAAGCCAAAACATGCATGAACTATCCTATGTAGAAATTAATTAGGTTCCAGAGTGGAAAAGAACAGCAACCGACTCCAGCTGCAGGAGCTGGACGAGCCAGTGCATAGAGATGGCAGTGGGAAGACACACTGCTGGAAGGCTAATCTTCAAAGGTCGCACCCTGAAGACTCCAGCTACTACGGAAAGTCTCCATTGTAGTTTCTGTTTTGGCGTAACCAAACTCGAACACAAAATTGAATACTATGTCGCAACCCTTGAATGGAACTACAATGGAGGCTGTAGGCATTTCCGAACGCCGTGGCATGTGATGTGGCATATGATCGTACAGCTGTATAACGGAACCCCAACGAATGACCTTGTGTAGGTCCCCCAAAAAGCACATAAGCAAGAATAGGGATATCCCATATAAACACCGCTTATAATGAAGCCCAATAAGGTAGCGATATCCTTATAAAATGCTTATGCTGTTGTGCTATTGGGGGTCCCTGTTGTAAATGACTGATTCTGACTTCTGGATTGTGTATGTCTGCATCTCCCGCAGGCCCCCGACTTGCTTCTTCTTTTCCTGGCTGAGGTCAAACTTCCCTGCCTTGCAGTCAGGAGGACGTAATATGTGCACCGAAACAATTAGAATAGGGCCGTTATAAAGGGTTCTTAAAGGACTGATGAAGTTGATAGGGTCTGTTTAAGAGTCTCTAAAAGTAGGACAGAGGATTTGGGGGATAAGTGTGCTATAACTTTAACAACAGTGCTGTTACACCCCAAAGGACCAATTCGGGCTCCGACCCTGTATTCAGGTCTTCAGATTCCAGGTTTAGGCCTTCAGGCTCTGTAAGACTTTAGGATTTGAGAAAGGACTGTTGTGAGGTGGAGTTTTCGGTGAACAAAAAGATTTAGGATCCACGGTTCACGGTTCTGGGAGCACTTCAACGTGATCGGAAAACTTGGGGCTTAGGGATACTTTGGGGGGGGCCCTAAGCTCTTGTAGCAATGCTTAAGCGACCCTGAGCCCTAACCCGCTGTAGTACCCGTACTAAGCCTTGCAGGACCCCTCATGCCATGCTTCCGGTTTTTGTATCGGGCCTTGTGTTACGGAGTCCCGGGCCGACTTAGCAAACTTTTGCGGTGTGGTGCTTGTAAGCCTGTGCCTGACCGCCTAACGCCTACAGCCTAAACCCACCTACTTGGAGGGGCAAAGGACTTGGTAAGTAGGTTATAAGTAGGGTTATCACTGGGGTGACTCCATTTAGGGTACTCATAACCCTACTTATAACCTACTTACTTACTTAGTCCCCTGCTCCTCCAAGTATGCCTAAAAGCCTTGCAGGATCAGGGCTTGCATGTTGGAGCGTACAGAGAACCGTTGAGGTCTTAACCACCATCATGCAAATTGTGTGTCAAGTCGTGCACTGTGTTAAGGGTTTAAGGCTTTGGGTTAAGGGTTTAGGGTGAACCTTTGACGGGCGATGCAGGTGCTAAGAGAATCGATGATGCCACCAGCACATGCAAGTAGCAGAAGCAATTGGCAACGGCCGGCAGCACCGACTTGCAACAACCAACATCCAAGATGCCAGCATAGATGAGCATCAAGGAGTGATGCACATGACGAACCCTAGGCTTCCAGGGACCTTATTATTGGGTCCTTAAGTGGTCTAGGGCCATAATTATAAGGTCCTTGGAAGCATAGGGGAACGAGAGATTGGCAAAACAACACTAGATACAGATCTCGCCTTGCCGGTGCCTATCGCTCGCAACTGAAGTCAAGCCTAAACCCGAGCCCTAAACCCTAAAACCCATCCACTGTTCAACTGAAATCAACCCTAAACCTCCAACCTTTAAACCCCTAAACTTTAAAATCCACCCACTGCTCAAGTGAAATCAAACCCAAACCCCAACCCCTAAACCCTAAAATCCACCAAAGCCAAGGCACTGGTTTGAACTTGGATGGCGCCAGCTTTGTCTTCTTGCCTGAGCAAGTTTAGGGTTGAGGGTTGAGGGTTTAAGGTTTAGTGTTTAAGGTTTCAGGTTTCGGGTTTCAGGTTTAGGTATCCCCATGGCCTAGCTAAGGCAAGGATCCGTAATCAGGCATTCACCATTACCGACACAACCACAATCCAAGACGTCATCAGAATTCGCCGCAAGGCTTCGAGAGGCAAGACACGAAGAGGCTCAATGTCTCATCCCAGAACGCCTTTTGACCATGAAAAAAGATAAAACCAAAGCAGCAAAAGAAAACTAAACCCGAAACCCTACACAGACCCGAATACCCACACATGTTGAAGTGAAGGATATTGCATCAACTAGGTTCGATCTGAGCTTCCTTTCCCGGCTCCGCGTGCCGCCGCGAGGGCGATACAGCTGAAGGCAACCGATGCAGTCGCTCCACGCGGCCCTTTCGGGTTTAGGGTTTAGGGTTGGATGTGCTGTTGCTGTCAACATTCGTCTACAAACTTTATATGGATGGTTGTCAAAATTATGGTCCTTTTTTGGGTCTCTATTATAGTACGGCACCTAATATTTAGGGTACCCAAAAAAGACCATAATTTTGACAACCACCCATATGGGCTCTTAAGGTTCAGTATTACCAGTCGCACGAATGAATCACCATCGTCATCATTTGACGGGCTCCAGGTGCTTGCAAATCCTTCTTCAGAGCTTCAGGGCTCAAAGGTCCCATCCTGAGGGCATGAGGCTTTGGAATTAACATCGAAACTCCGCTGTGGAAGCAAACTCTGGTGAATGTTGGAGGTCCTTTAGCGGATCTTCGGGGTGTTCTGGCTTCGGGCTTTTTGGATGTAGGTCACTGGAGTCTTCTCACGACTTTAACTTGGCAGACCGAACCCGGGAACGGTGCAAACGGGTACTCCCACATACGAGTCACTATGGTGTCCATATAATACGGGTCCCAATATTTAGGGTACTATCTTAGGATCCCCTATTTTCGGAAACTATAGGACCACGAGAAGTCTCGGGCTGCAGGATGTTGGGGAGCTGGAGACATGTGCGCGGTTGACTCTCTGTAGTAAGTGAAGATGGAAACGAACCTTAAGCCAACAAGAGACCAAAAGCTGAACCCCAATGGCCCAAACCCACGAAGCCCCAGCACCAAACCCCAAAAGCGCAGGGCGAGAAGCAACATCCTTAGCTTTGTTGATGATTGTTGGGGTTCTTCAGATATATCGTTGTCATGTTAAGGCATATCATAATTAGTCTACTATAGCAAAGTATATTTCCTCACATTTTATATGTCCTGTAAGTTAGACTATAATTCACTATTACATTACATTCTAGTCGGATCTCGGGGGTGCCTGGCTTTGCCCGGCAAGCACTCTATCCTACCTGTTCACAGAAGCTCGTGCAGCAACCTTGGTGGAATGGTCAGGTTCGCTCGCTCGTGCTACAACACCCCTGCACTGTACGACATGGCTGCTCCCAAAGCAGTCAATGCCAACAACTGCGAAGATTTGGTGGACTCGTATATGGGAGTTTCCGGAAATCGGGGATCCTGACATAGTACCCTATTCTCTGTAGTGGTACCCCCCCCCCCCCCCCCAATTTTCGGAAACACCCATATCAGACATTCTGAGCAACATGTCTTCTCGGCCCTGTGATGAATTCTTCGAGCCCTGGCCGGGGGTATTCAGCTCATTCTGACAACTTCATGGTATCTGGGAGTATCAGAAAATGGTGGACCCCAATTTGGATGAGGGCCCCTAATGCCCGCAACATACCGAAAGACAGAACTAACAGAGGACAACCTATACTGTTAAACGCAGGAAAGCCTGGAAACACAGATGCCGACGCCGAGGACGCCACTCCTGGCAAAAGACGCTCTGCATCGCTCTGCACCCGGTTGCAGGTTTGTGGTGTAGGATCGAGGTTTTGGGGTTCAGGGCTTTGAACTTATGAATTATGAACATCGCACCATGACGAAACTAGGATGAACGACAGAGCGTGGAGGTTACGCACAACTTAGTATGTACAATCCACACCATTCGGCTCACATCGTCTACAACATAACGCTTAACCTTTAAAACCTGCGGCTCTGTCGCGCGCTGCTCTTTCTCAACACAGGATCCCTGAATTGGCAGTCAGGGGCTCTCCGGTTGAGCACCCGCTTGCTTCAGGGATCTCAATGTAGCCTACTTGTCTGGTATGGGAGTTTCCCAAAAATAGGGGTACCTTGTTTTGGGGCCCTTATAAAAAGGATCCTACTACTGTATCTAGGGGGCCATATTAGGGTCCGCTATTTTCGGAAACTCCCGTATCATGGGGAAGCAAAGGTTGACCCTTTTTAGTTAGAAAGGGGTTATAAAGGGACTATACTACCCAAAAAAGGGTTAAAGGTTACCTCCTCGACTTCCTAAGGGTAGGGCCCCACACAAAACACAAAAAAAAGAGCTTAGGGCAGTGATATCCCAGATCAGTCCCCTAAAATGAAGCTTAGTTTAAGGCAGGGATATCCTTGTACGATGCCTATACTTATGCTTATGTCCCTTTTGAGGCCCCTACAGGGAGCCCTCCCGACCCACCCGGCTAAAGCCACGAAACTCAAAAAGATCATCTCGCAGCCCTGAGCCTGCACCACTACGAAACATCAAGCCCTAAGTGGCTTCTGCGTGGTTGTGTGACCCGACAAGTGGCAAACAAAAACATAAATGCCCCTGGAGATGCACAACTCTAGCAGCCAGTGTGCTGTATGTGCTTTATAGTTTCGACCACCAGAAATATGCGGTTCTAACGCCGCTACATTGATACAAGTTTGCAACAGGGAGTCCCTCAAGCCTCAACCCTGAGCCCCAAGCCGCGGCCAACCCTGAATGTGTAGTGTAGCTCCGTGGGCAGCTAAGCATTCGATTCCAACTAAAGGGACCGGACCAGAAATGCAAGACGCTCAAGTTCAAAGCCGATGGGTTTTCTCGACATGCCTGTGTGTCTATGCCTCATGCCCACCGTGGCCATGAGATATTTGGAAGGTTTCCAAATTATTTTGGTGCCCAAAATAGCACGGCACTCACGCTGCAAGCAGGACCTAGAGAGCTTTTGTGTTTTCTGTCGTAGACTTTAAGAGTTGGGGCCTTCAAAAGAACAAGCCGTACGCATTGGCACAAAATGGAGTAACTAGCAGCAACAGCTTATATACACAGGTCTGTGGCCCTGCATACCGCCATCTCGAAACCGCCGCCCTCAAACTGAGAGTAAACCTGAAACTGTAAATAACGGGTTGAACTCTCCGCACGAGACCTGGGCAGTCGCAAGCTGACTTCCAAAGGTGCAAACCCTTGAGGATGACATAAATGGGTGGCTGTCAAAACTAGGGTCCCTTTTTGGGTCCTTATTATAGTACGGCGCCTTATATTTAGCGTACCCCAAAAGGGACCCTAATTTTGGCAACCACCCAAATTATCCCCAATCCGGGTGCCGTCCTGAACGAAATGCCCACCGACACTTCGGAGGTGGAAGACTGATCTCTGGCCTAAACCCTCACGAACATCGAACCCCCAAGCCCTTATCACTGAACCCCAACCCGAACCCGAAACGTACCAGGCAGATCAAGAACAAACGCTTACGGTTAGGGTTTAGGGTTTAAAGTTTAGGGCTTTGGGTAACCATGATAGGAAATGATATCCACCCCAAGCCGGGGATGAAAGCTTCATGGTGTTTTTCGATGCTCCTTGGGAACAGTGCAGAGCTTGCCATTGGACATTTACTGTCTGGTTCTTAGTAGGGAATGGGGGAATGGGTTGTAGGGACTACTCTAAGGGACCCTTAAAGGACTATCATACGGATCCATTCCCCATTCCCTTCCAAGAACCAAACAGTTTAGAGGAGGAGGGCGTGAGAAAGACTTTAGGATTTGGATTAATACAGGGGCCTTAATACTTGGAATAGGGTTCCTTTAAATTGGCCCATAAGGGCTACATGACGGGCCATAATAATTAGAATAGGGTCTTTGGGCCCAGTATACCAAAAAAATCAATAAGGACCTCCCACCCCCAAATAGTATAGGTAGTTATTTAGACCCCTACATTAAGTAGAGGACTCATCGTAATGGAATGTGTCGAGGAGGGCAAAGGGCAACCGCTCGTCACTATGTGTGTTTGGGGCTTTATGGTTTTAATACACTGTAATCCTACTTTGTCAGCCCAACTACGATGCATGCGACCCAACAGTATATCTAGTTTCTGCACGTAGTCGCAGCCAGCTGGACATGCAGAGACGGCAACAATGGCCAACGAATGGAAAGGTGAGTGGACGTTCGCTTTCTTTTTCAGTGACGGTGTTACCCCGTGATGCACCTATCCCCACTTTCAAAACTGGGCAGTGCCACCCTATGTGAACTACTTCCAATAGTCGGCGGCGATGGTTTAGGGGCGAGATTATGCTTGAAGTTTTGTCTCTGTGCCCGTCTTTCGCTAAACTGTCAACCATCCTTGCCCAACTTTCCTGCAAAAAACCTTGAAAGATAACATGACATCAGGTTACAGCTGGCACATGTTGGCATGGAGCCAGACAGTGTTGCCTCCTATCAAGCAAGTTCTTAGTTCCTGAAATCAGAAGCCCAAAATAATGTAAACGTCCCAGGGGCAATACAATCCCGGAAAGTGTAGAGTGCATCCAATCAGCTACGAAGAGCTTCTTAAAAAAGGGAAGCACTACAATTCTCCTGAAAAACTTAAGCCTAAACCCTAAACCCTAAGTCCCTTAAGCTGAAGCCCACCTCTGGCCAGCGGCTGGGGCAATGTCGCAGGCCCTGTGGCCGGCCTGTGTAACTAGCAGGGGCCTTGGCAATTACAACAACGTGTTTGGGTACATCACAGAATGCTTACAGCCCTAAGGGCCCATATATATATATATATATATATATGGAATCACGAACTGTATTTGGTGTGTCTGGGAGCACGTAGAACAAGAAAAAAGGGCACTCTCACAGTGTCCCGTTATATATATATATATATATACATATTACTCTTATGGAATAGTAGGTCCGGAAACACCATCTCTATTCTGGTGTTGGTGCCCTCGTGCAATAATAGGAGTATATATGGACTCTCTTGGTAATTACAGTGAAGGAAGGGACTGTGAGGACCAATGCGGATATGCATTCAACTATAGCAAAGGGTTAGGGTATAGGGTTTATAAGGCTTAGGTTTTAGGGTATAGGGTTTAGGGCTTAGTGTTTAGGGTTTAGGGCTTAGGTTTTAGGGTTTAGGGCTTAGGTTTTAGGGTTTAGGGCTTAGCTTTTAGGGTTTAGGGCTGAGGTTTTGGGGTTTAGGGCCTAGGTTTTAGGGTTTAGTTCTCCTGTCTCCCGGCCTTCGAAGATACACAGAACTCCCAAACCTGAAACATTCGAATCCTCAGGAGATCGGAATCGGTGTCTTTCTGTTGGCTTTCACTTCGAGTTCCCGTGCTTAGACTCGACAAAGTACCAGGGCAACAGCGTCTGGATTTGAAAACCCTACACCTGGAGGGTCATACCCTACCCCTTTTTCAGGGTACGTAGTTCTATGGTTATGATCTCCTATATAGAAGAGCGGTACCTTAAAAAAGGGGTAGGGTATGAGCCTATGGGTAATCCAACACCTCAACCTCGAGGCCTTTGGTTGGGCGTCGCAGGGTTGAAGGCTACAGCTCTTTGGGGCCTCAGGCCTGTCTTGAAGCACTTTATGTGCTGAGGGTTTGTGTGTATAGGGGTTAAGGGTTAAGACAAAAGGTTTTGGGGTTTAGGGGAAAAGGGTTAGGGCTTAGGGTTGAAGGCTTCAGGGTTTTTGGGGGGATGATGGCTTCGTGAGCTCACGTTGACCAGCGCAGCACTACAGGAACAAGCCAGACACCTGTGAGCCCGAAACCCATCTGAGGAGTCCCCGAAATTGTATAGGTAATAATTAAGCCCCTGTACTACGGCTACTCCGACCACTGCTACTGAGTTAACATCCCAAGTTGTCGGAGACAATGCGGTCCAAGAGCGTTACATTATTTTACAACGGGGCTCTCAAACCCGAAACCCTGAAACCCTAAACCTTAAATCCCAAACCCCAAAACCCCCAAACCCTGGTACAGGCAAGTACCCTCGATGGACGTACTCCAGCCACAACCCTACATATAACCTACCTACTAAGTCCCCTGCCCCTCCAAGTAGACCCTAAACCCTAAACCCCATAGATCCCTTTAAGGAACCCTATAGATCCCTTTAAAGGAGCCCTTTAAAAACTCCCCTTCATAGTACCCTAAGCCCCAAAGCCAAGTCCCCACCTCTGCAAGACCAAGGCCATGGCGACAAAGGCGGGGCTTGGTTCCACTTGGCTTCGGCCGCGGTTACGGTTTAGGGTTTAGGGTTTAGGGTTTAGGGTTTAGGCTTTAGAGTTTAGGGTGCTGAATCCCTAACGAGTAGGGTCCGAGGTTAGAGGGTCTAACCCTTATAAACCAATCCTTCAAGCCTAATGTCCAAGGGTAAACGGAGGGACCCTTAATAAGGACCCCTAGGTATATACCCTTGATATAGCTATTCTATACCCATGATATAGCCCATTATAGGGTAGGGGCCCTTATTAAGGGTCCCTCCTTTTCCCCTTTGATAATGTATACTCGAAGCCGCAAACCCTAAACCCAAATCCTACGCTCAGTCTAAAGTCCAAACGGTAAGCCTACAGCCCCTTGAAGGTGTCTTGGAAGCCCAGAGAGCTTTGGAGGCTGATATTGTACTGAGTATGTTATTCTACTATACTAAATACTACGACCTTACATCATATTATAGTACTTTGTTATGTTTGGTTATACTATCTTATAATAGGGCAATATATTATACGATAAACTGAAAACATGTGGATTGTGTTTCGGGGCGCAAGACAATGGACGATAGGCTTCGGTATTCGGGTTTCGGGTTGGAAAGGCGCGTAAAATGGTAAGCCAAGGAATCCTCAGAATAGTACCCACGGGTCCAAGTTATCTATATAGTAGAACGCAGGGTTTCTATACTAGGAATTACTACTATGTTTTTGCGAAGTATACCCCAGTTCAGTACATAGGACCCTTTGGGTACTACTGTGCTAAATCTTCAGGCCCTCTGCATTTCAGGGTCCACGACGTCGTCAAGAAGCGCCGTGTCGGACTCTTGAAGTCTTGCAGTGTAGGACCAAGATTTAGTGTGCAGATGCGGCCGTACTTGTGAGAATAGGGCTCAGGGGCATAGGCATACATATTATTACCAAGAGTATACTCCTATGATGGAATTGGGGCCCCAAGACCATTATAGGGATGGTCTTTTGGGACCTAATGCCATAACGGTAATTAGTATATATGGACCCTTAGGGTTCTAGTATCATATAATATGGAGCACTATAGGGAGCATCATCATTTTAGGGAGCGCTAGGGAACGGCGTCAGGCTCCTGGATATCCACTTGCGTATGGGTCTACCTCGTTGGGTCCCAGTACCGAGCCAGGATCACATTCTTTTGGGTTCTACATAGGGTTAAGGGTTTAGTTTAAACTCCCCGAAATACGACCCTGCTACACGCACTAGGGCTTGGGGTCTTGTAAGACAAGGTTTCTATCATCCTAGCCTCGAGTACTGGGGTACCTATAACTCTTATGCTTGGGGGGCACAGAATGGACCACGGTTATTGGTGGTTCCAGCATCTCCCAAGCTCCATGTGCTCCATGTACGAAACCCTAAAGCCGCAATCCTGTACCCGACAGCCCGATAATGTAAACGCTGAAACCCTCCCCTGCGCCAGGGTACTACAGGGTGTGAAGCTACTTGCGCATACAGCCGGAAGCTCCAAGCGAGTTGCACGTAAGACTAGGTCCTCCCAAGCTCAACATCCGAAGGCTGGCTTTAATCACACATGGAAGTTTCCGAACGTTAGGGGTACCGTATTGTAGGGTCCTTCCAAAAAGGGACCCTACTCTTTAGGGTACTCTGTTAGGTTCCCCGATTTTCGGAAACCTCCACATACCGAAATGGAAGATTCAATGACCGTGGGACCCTTAGAATTAGTGCCCAGGGCTTACGGCTTATCGTTTAGGGACCCAACTCCATATGGCTCCGTACTGTAAATACACCGAAACACAGCGTGTCCTGGATACACTCGATACTAGCAACTCTAGATATCGAAAAACCTCTATACGTTGCAAACCCTCAACACTAAATCCAAATTAAAAACCTCAAGCCAACTAACAAACCCGGCAGCGGAGCTGTGCAGGAAACACTCGCTCAACCGTTTCTCCCGGTTCGTATTAAGCAAGCTGCTGATGCTGAACATGTGTGCGTCACGCAGGGCATGGCTAAAGCAGGAAGCGAGCTCTCCTAGCTCATGGTTGGGGTAGGATTAAAAGTTTACACATTTATTCCTTATTGGGTTTAATATACCCATAAACACGTAAAATGTTACCCAACTATGGCAGTTGTTTAAACTAGGCTTTTATATTACAGCTCCGCCCCCACTGCTAGAGCCATGCTCGGACGCCGCCAGCTGATGGCGGCATGTTCGAAGTCGTAAGCCTTGAACTTACGGCTCTCCACGAACCCTGAGGCTCCAAATAGCCCAAAGTAGGTACCATTTATAGACTTTAGAGGCCAAAGTAGGTAGTATTTGTATACTTGGAGTCTTAGGGGAAAGCAGGGTCTCGTACCACTCCCAAGAGAGTTTCCTTTGCGCCAAGCACGCTCATTTCTCAAACGAAACATAAACAGACCAAGCCCTTTCCGTTGCTCTCTGAACCCTGGGCCCTTCTAAAAAACTTAGTCTTGAACCCTCCTGCAGTTGTCGTGAACCTTTCCGATATATATATATATATAGATATATATATATATATGTATATTCATATATTCCCAAACCTTGACTATGAAGCTTGTTCCGTGGTTCCCTGTCTTAACCGCAAACCTACTCATAGTTTCTTGCGTTCTCCCCGAACCGTGTGTCTGATTCTGACTTCCTGAACCCAAACTCCACATAAATCCTGAACCCTAATAACCCCAGATCCTTAGGCTTAAATCCTCAACTATGCACACTAAACTGATGGGAGGCAAAAAGGGGGGTTTAAGATTCTTGGGGTAGGGATTCCTTAATATGAACCCTGTTATGGGAACCCTCATGCCTATACTAAACCCCCATAGGCCAAAACCCCTTTTGGCCTCGTATGATAAGCTCTAGTCGTCTTCCCTTCATACCAGACCCTGGTAGAGCCTGCAGCCGAGGCTGGATTCGGTAATCCTTCTGACCATCCAACTCTCAGGGTCTCGGGCTGAGGGTTGGGACTTCGCACTTGAAGCAGGGTCCCTCCTTAGAAACTTCTACCAGGGTTCATTAAACGGTTCCATAAGGATTCACCGTCTCCTCCTATTATGAATTCCCACCCCCCCGCTATACTACGTATTGCTTTTGCGAGAACACTTCGGGGATAGTACTTGAACTTGGAAAGTTCTCCTTGCTCAGGGATTAACTTTGAACCTTCTTTTGGCAAGCTGCAGACTTTCGAAAATACGGGTCCTTGCAAGGTTTGGATGCAAGGGCCTTAACAACTAGCACCCGGCTTTGAGATGCTTTAAGGTGGGCTACTGATACAGTTTTGGGAACTATAAAGCGGTACGATTAAAGATTACGGTTCTCATTTATTCACGCCTCTAAACCGTAAACGCTAAAGGCTCTTGGGTTGTAGGCTGACGTTTCAGGAACTCGAAGTTGAATGAAGGTTTCGGGCTAAACTCAGGGCAGGGCGCTCTGTGGATAGAGGCGCTACGCATAGAAGACACCGCGCTCGTCATCCCAAGTTTAGGGCTCAGGCGCGCCCAAATCTAACCGCAGGGTCAATAGACGTGACCATTGTAGAGTTCAGTCCCAAAAGACTTCAAAAGACCATCAGAATAATGTTTTGGGGGCACCCAATTCCATAATAGTAGTCAGTAGTCTTTATATCTTGGTAAACCATAAGGGTAGCTACTGCGCAATGCGGACTTGGAGCCAGCTTAACCCTGTAGCTTGGAGGATCAGAGCAAAGAAGCTGTGTGTCGCTTTTCACGCAGCCTTCCGGCCATTTGAGCTTGGCATCTTGCGGTTTGGGGGGTTTACTGCGCAAGGGGTCGATTCCGACAGTCCCAAAAACTATTTATGATTCGGGCTCTATACTTAAAATATAACAAATCGATACCTAGTGTATGGTTGAGGGCTTTCCACGCTCATACTGTTGATGATACAAATCCTGCATTACCTTAAGGACCCTAAACTATGGGGATTATGATATATTCCTTATTATGGGTAATGCAGGATTTATATCATCAACCGTAGTGCTTGTTTGTAGGATTTCTGTGGCTCATGGGTTGGCAAGTGTTGGTCTGGAGGAGAGCAGGTTCGTAGTCGTGCGTGGATCTCAACTTCGACTGTGGCTTTCGGGGTGCCTGTGGGCTTCTGAGAAAAACATAACCCAAAAAACCCTTAGTTCTAAACCTTACACCGCCAAAAGCGAATCACAGCTCATGTGCGAGATGTCGGCGAATGTGGCGCTGCTGAGACACTCAACCCGGGCATGAAGAGTAACCTAGGCTCTTGGCCCCCATCACACCTAAACCCCCCCCCACCTTCCAATGCTAAGACTACATTTGCTCATAGCCTTTAGGGTTTACTTCGATAACTATGCTTCCAAGGACCTTATAGTTAGGGCCCTAGACCCCTTAAGGACCTAATAATCAGGTCCCTGGAAGCCTAGGGTAACAGAAATGGAAGAATCCGCTTCTAAGGAACTCGCAGTATCAGCCTCAGCGGCTCGAAAGCCGGACACCATCTCTCAGCCGACCTTCTTTCTCCAGAGGAAGACCTCGGAGTAGTATTTCAGTCGTCTACCCTAAACCCTAAACCCCTGAACCCCTCAACCCTAAGCGCCTATGGGGTTGGGGTTTCAGGATGCCGAGGGTTTGCGGTTTAGATCACGGCATTCCGATTTTCTAGGGTTTTGGATTTAGGGGTTTAGGGTTTAGGGGTTCTGGGGCATAACGCTTAAGCTTCAAACTCTATACCCTACCCGGAAGCTGAGACTCCCTGTTCGGAGTAGGGGTTTAGGGTTTAGGGTTTAGGGTTTAGGGCCGTTTAGGGTTTAGGGTTTAGGGGGTTTGGGGGGCTCAGGCCAATAGGAATTCGGATTTTGGCAGGCGGTTCGAGGTGCCGGGGGCTTCGGGGTGTCGATCCTCAGAAGAACTTTATGGTGGTAAGGGTATGTTCTCGAACAGAAATAGGAGTTCCCGAAAATAGGGGACCCTACTATAGTACCCTAAATAATAGG